CCCCGTCCTCCCCCCCCCCCCCCCCCCCCCCCGCCGTTGCCCCCAGTTTATGGAAAAGGTCTCTGTTCTTCATAAATTATTACATAAAAGAAGTGTGATGTACTTACAGTTTATGTGTTCATCCCTTTGTCTTAGACATAAGTAGAAGGACTTTGGTTGAAGTAAATCAGTGACAAAGTTCCAATGCTGGGCTTTAGGTCTTTGCTTAAGTCCTCTGAAGATGAACATACAAAGAGACTTTAGAAAACGGCTTATTCTGAGAACCCAATCCAGTGTGCGTGCACGCGTGCTTATGTGTGCACACTTCTAGGGATAAAACCCAGAGTTTTGTGCATTCTAGTCAAGCACTCTGAGCCACATCTCCAGCCCTATATTGCCCTTTAATGACAGCTAACTAAATCAGAAATCAAGGTGTCATTGTCAAGCCTCCTCTTGCCTCACATTCATACCCAAGTAATTTCAAACCTTGACATATCTCACCTGCTCTAAACCTCTGTTGTTTTGTCTTCATCCAATCACTTAGGATTTCTCACCTGTACTATTTTGAGAGCCTTCCCACTGGCTTCTCACCATTCAGTTTTTATCTCTTTCCAATCAATCCCTGCTCCAAAAAGGCATCTGAGCAGGTCACTTTTCTATTGAAAAAAATTAAAAATAAGAACCATAGAGCCATACTATTTTCAAAAGGTTTGTTTTATATGGATAGACTATTTAACCACATTAAAGACTATTTAACCACATCATAGTCATAAGCAATGTTGAATATTTTGTTAATTATTTAAGAATTTAATGCATTGTGTCTTGATCATATTCATCATCTTCCCCATCTATTCGAAGATTCAGCCCCCAATTCCATACCCACCCAACATTTTACCTTCATGGATTAAAAAAAAATAGAACAAAAAAATCAATAGAACAAAACCAAGTAGTTTTGCCTATGTATTCCTGAGTGTGTGGTCATCTACTGGATCATTTTTTATTTACTGGAGACATACCCCTAAAGAAAACTAACTCTTCCTTTCCTGGCAGCTATCAATTACCACTGGCTCCTCAGCAAGGACTAGGACTTGGTGACTAAGTACCATTTTAACTAAAAATCATGATATCTAAATATATAAAGAGAAACCTGTTAGCAGTAGAGAAAGAAAATCTATGAAAATGTCTGTATTGAAGACTTTGACATACGTTAATCATGAAAACAAGGAACACAAAAATACAAATAATTGGATGAATTGAAAATATGTTATTCATTCTAATTAGTAATGTTTAAAAATATTTTATAGATAGTAGTTCATTACTTCCAAATATTCATTGAACTTCTGAAAATGATTGCATGTTATCCTGCAGAGAAAATATATGCAAATTCTTAGCAGCAGAAGTGACATTGGCTTTGTTTCCAATGATAATGTACAAATTTCCCAAATTTAAACAAAAATCTTTAGCAACTTTAATATAGCAGAACAATTTATATGCAAATATCAAATCAAAGAAAAATAGCAAACTAATAAAAATAATAAATGTGGGAGCATGACTTGTCAAAACTTTGAGATTAATATTCAAAAGTAAATTTATAACATTTGATATTTTATTAAAAATGAAGAATACAATTATCTATCTAAGAATCCAATATAATATTGATGCCAAGGGCTTGATTTGGGGACTGGGAAGATGGATTAAATAGATAAGCCTCTAGCAAATTTAATCAAGTAAACAAAGATGAATTATAAATAAAATTTAAATGATGAGTGGCAAATAGTATCATAGAAATAGTTTCTGGAATTAATTACAGATTACTATAATTATACTTTAGGAAA